TATTATTATTATCCTTTACCTGATTTGCGTGCATTTTTTAATTGAAGGGAGTATTCCTCTATTGGTCGATCGAAAAAAAAGGGATTAATTTTTAAATAATCTCGGTACATTGAAAAGATTTCAAAATATTTATTTCATATATTTATGGTTTTATACGTGGGATTATATATGCGATTATAAGACTACGCTGGTGCGTGATTATTATTATTATTATTATTAATATTATTATTATTATTAATTATTATTATTGTTGTGATGCTGTTGTTGTTGTTGTTGTTGTTGTTGTTACAATGCATTAATGCAATCTCGCGTAGATTCCTCGTTACAGAGAGAGTGTTAATTGCATCTCCCGCAAACAGAACGTTGACCGCAAGACCAATCACCAAGGAATCGCTGAATAGCAGTCTATTCAGAACGTTCGATGCATAACTCGATACTTGTATCCTTCGATTCCAATCGATATCGGTATTCGATACAGTTTTGTTTTTCTCGGTAAGACGCACGAGGCTTCAAGCGATTCTTTGGTTTCGAACAAATCGTAATAACAAATACAAATAAATAACAAAATTAAATATATTTTAACTTATGATAATATTTTTAAAGGATGATATGTTGTTCAGCCTGAAGGATCGTGATTTGTAATACTTGTCGTTCACACTCTTTACAATTTTACGAAATATTCGCAATTTCGTTGGATACACATTAAGAATTCATTCATTTATTTATTTATTTGCATTCTCTTTTCAATTGTCCACTTTTTGAAAATTCTTAAGTATAAGAAACGCGAGATCGTTTCGTTATCTTCGACTAGATGTTGCGATCTGGAAAAAAATCAAAGAGAGAGAGAGAGAGTGAGAGAGAGAGAGAGAGAGAGATAGATAGAAAAAATGAAGCAATCATTTGGAAAGATTTGACCGCGTTAAAAACAATTGTCGATATTCTGGCCTATATAATAATTCTTCGTCTCCCTTTTTATGTTAGTTAAATCATCGATACGTGGAAGGTCAGGGTAACGAACTCGTAAGTGAACCGTGAACTAATTCTTCATGTAAAAATAGGAACGATGCGTGGACGACACGATCTATCTTTGTAACTTCCTTTTCCCCTTTCCTCCTTTTGTAAAGTATGTTCATCGTTTGATACTATCTCTCTCACACATACACACTCTCTTCTTCTTCTTCTTCTTCTTCTTCTTGTTCTTTTTTTTTTCTTCCATCCGTTGTTAAAATGAGACAGTCCAGATTGGAACCTACTAGTGGAATTTTATCTAGACCGGATCCGGTGCAGGTGCTAGCAACTGCATGCTACTACTCGATTTGGTGATCTGTAAATTTAAAGATTCTTTTGTCAGCTGGCCGAACAAGAAACCATTATTATTTCTCTCGTACACATACACTAAATATTATTGAAATGATATTTCTACGATAAAAAACTTTTCCTCGTTGGATAACGATAACAATTGTCATATCTTTTTTATTTTCGTCTTTGACAACAACAAAAAATATCATCATACGTTTTCGTTCCTTTTTTTTTTCTCTCGTTCAAACGAAAAAAAAA